GCTATTACATATTTTTTATCATTTTTAACTGCTCGGTCGTAACTAAGTCTTTACAAACTTGATTATTTATCTTCTCATTGTGATTATTTAACTCATTATTTGTTTCCCTGCCTCTAGGAAAACTATTACACCAAGGCACATTATGCTCGGCGTTCGCAATGATGCCGAATTAAATGAGCTTCTTAAGCATGTTCACATCAGCCATGGTGGCGTACTCCCATGTATTCACCCATCGCTGTTAAAGCGTAAGGGAACATCAGGCGGTGCTTTGCCTATTGGATCTTCAGGCCCAACCGCCTCTTCTAGACAGGGCTCTTCCAACGCCGAGCCTCAGCAGCAGGCTGCTCGAGTTTTTAGCCAATAAACTAACATTATTCATTAATTAACATGTGTATATCTTCCCCGTTCTCCTACTTCACGCATTGATGAATATTGTCATTTTTGTATTGTTAATTTTTTTCATACCCTTCGACTTCATCACATCTTACCTCTTTTTACCGAAAGGCTTTGTCGTACAATTTGATACATACTCGACCGCTTATTGCAAGGTGTCACGGTCGGTCGTTAAAAAGCTTGCATTTACTGACTTCGGCGTCGTTTGGCATACGAATGTCCGGAAAATCTTCTGAGCGGCGCCACATGTCGCATAGCTCCGTTTTGTCTTTTGGTGATTAATCTATTTACGTCAATGTTCGCTGCTTGCATACTGTTTTTGATTATTTATTATATTGTGATATCCTTTAGGGTATTTAACGTTTAACTTATTGACCCTTGTTAATTGATGGGTCAGTTTCGTAATTTTGCTGTCAGTAAGTCAATCTTTATGCCTATTCGGTGTACTTGCCTAGTGTTCATGAAAATATATAGAAATTTATCGACTTCTATTTACAGTCAGTATCGCTTTGCACCACCTTAAGTGTCGTTTATTCACTTCTTTATGGTCCATGCAAGGCTGCGATCCTTTCCATATTTAGCATAAATAAGTAATCCATACTTATGCACCCATTCGTTTATGTGGACTATACATTTTACTCATTGACAGGTTACTAGTGGATTTTCTGCGGTCAGTGCAGGCACCTGGCCTAGAATTTGGGTTTAGTATTTCCAAAAGTCTTCTGGATATACTCATTAGCAAGATAAAGACTCGAATTCAAATATCTTCTCCCTATTCTTACTGTAATAACCCTGCTACTTTCAAGCTATTTCGTCTGTAACTAGCAGGTCAGGTGATTATCAGGTTGGTCGTAGTCTCTTTTCTAGCTAGCCTTGACGACTTGGCCCTATTAACGAGCAGACTCTAAGTAACTCGCCTCACTGTCTGCTTCGTTCTTACCTTATTCGATTATTAGTAATTGTGCTCCAAAATTCACAAATAGCTGTTTTAGCGCCAAATGCCTTATTGGGATTTGGACATATTTTTCCCTTATATGTGGTCCGCAGGTCTAATATCCGTGGAATAAAGTTGGACTGCCGGCCAGGCGCTCGTACTTTGGCGTCCGGGTAGCCCCTCAGGTCGCGCTTTCTGTTCCTCTGTTTTGGGGTCACTCATGTTGGTCCATCCACTTGTTCACAATTCTGTGCTCGCGCTTTCTCTAATGCCGCCTAAGAGTGCATCGCTACATGTGGGTTTGGTGACGCGTAATCATCAGCAGCAGTAACATGATTACGCTTCACCAAACCCACTTTTAGCGACACTGGAGGAAACGAGAGCACAGAATTGTGTGAACAAGTGGATGGGCCATATGAGGTGGGTTTGAGAGAAAGAGATGCGGCATTAGAAGGTAGAATATAAAACCGGTCGTGAAGATTGCCTTCAGTTATCATCCCGGTAGCGCCCCTGACTGACCATGCGACGAAACCTTTGGTAATGTACGCAGCCAATGATCCAATGCTGGAAAGCACGAATACTATGGCAGAGGACACGGGACTAGGTAGACCCCACAAGATCTCCCTGATGCTCCGACCAAGTAGCGAAAATAAGGTCGAACCAAATCTACTCTGCGACAAAACTGCAACAGGTAAATGCTGACTGCTTTGGTGTGCTGCTTAACTGGAGCGGGACAAGTATGCTCGTAGGAAATTCTCGCTTACCATCAGCCGTGTATTATGTGCCGTAGGATGTACAGATCAGTTGATCGAAAGTCCTGTGTATCCTTTATTATTTTCTGCAAACATGTGTGCCACCAACAAGAATAACCGCTCGGCGGTTGTGACGTCTCATTGTACCATCTTCCGTTTGCTGAATCTTCTGAAGCTGAACTACCAAGCTCAGCTTTTGTACGGTGATTCTAGCTCACGCTGTTTGCATCACTTGCAGACTAATGTAATGCAAGTAAGGCTGGGCGGACCAGGAGAGAGGGCAGTATAGTTTCTAGTAATTGCTAAAATGACACTATATACTTCGGAAAGGCCAGGGGGCCATCATCTGAAGTGACCCTAAATATTGGGGTGAGTCTGGTCGTGATAAGGTACTCTTTTAGTCGACTGCGTGTATCGGTTGATTTTTATACGCAGTACCATTAACTGACGTACTTGAGCAAAGGTAGTGAAAATACTACGAAAGACAAATATCCAAACCATTCTTTATTTATCCACGTCTTTCACTATTATTTTGCTTAATTGAATCTATATAACGAATTAGATAGATTTTTGTTAGAACTCTCATTTTGCATGCAGGTCTATGAAGAAGAGATTCGAAGCTCGATCTCACAAGGAGCTTTTCAAGATCTGATACAAACTCTTAAGGAGCATCCAGTGGTAACAGAAGGACTAAAGTCAAGTTTAGCTTCCATAAATAAGCTTCTTAACCTATCCATGAGGTGCACATATTTTACCTTTGATGACAAATTATACGGTCGAACACGAGGACTAGCGATGTTGTCTTGCCTGGCTCCCATCTTGGCTAACAATTATATAGCAAGGCTGGAGGAACATTTCCTGCAAGAGGTAATATTAACCCCAAATTTTAGGTTAGGTATATGAATGAGTATTTTGTCATCTGGCCTCATGGTGAGGAAAGTTTAGATAGTTTCCTACTTTCCCTCAACCAGCGTGAAAGGAACATAGGTTCACAATGGAAATGGAAGAGAATAGGTCCTTACTCTTTCTGGATTTTTTCGTCATCAGATAAAAGAGTAGGTTAGGGAGGGATGTTTATAGGAAGCCAACATATGTTGGCTCTGCTTAATTTTTTTTCCAACTATAGTTAGAAAAGTAAGGTTGGAATTTTGAAGCCAATAAGCATTAGGAGTATAAGGCTAGTGAACAGCAAACATTTGACTAAAGAGTTGGAACGGCCGACAAATTTATTCCTGAAAAATAATTATCCTTTTGGGCTTATTGAGAATAATATCTCTTTACTGAAGAATAGATTTTCAGACGGTGACCATTTAGTAAAAGATAGACAGGCTGAGACCTTTTCCCATGTCCTTATTTTTCTGTCACGCCTTCTTTCAAAAAAGAAAGGCGAATTAGTAAGAAAGGGGGGATAAAACAGTGCTCAAAGAAACCCTTACACTTTCTTCTGTTATGCCATCTTTTAGAGAGATATGTGACCCATTTTCGTGATCCGGGTGCTACAATATTTTTTGCTTATGTGATCGATGTTATGTTGGTGAGACATGCCAGCTTATTCAACAAAGATTGAGAGAACACAAAAAGCTTGTAAAGGAAATTGGGTCCAACGGTCAGAAGCAGCCGTCTGGAAACCGGACATGAAATAGAATGGTCTAAAACTAGTAGGCTTGCTGATTATGGTACTTCTGCTGTTAAAAGCGAAGCTATTGAAAGTAATAGCTTAAGAAATACGTTGAATGTCAGGAAGGGTGGTAGAAAGTTCAGCAGGAACTACTTGTACTTGATTGATAGATTAAAAGTAGAGGTGTTGAACCGCCATCCAAAAGAAGGTGACCAGACTAAAGATAATAATCAAACCACTCTAAATCTATCTAGTTTTTTAATTTTCTTTTGCTTAATTGAGTCTATATAAGAGGTAAACTAGAGCCGGATAGTCTTCTTTCCCTAGTGTTAACTTGAGACTTTTACATGAATGAGACCCAGCTCTGATCATATCCATCATATAATAAACGAAAGCTTGGCCAGTTTTTACCTAAAAAGAGGAAAGAGGTCTTTTGGACTGCGTCAATCTGAACTTCGTATTAAAGCCAAATAATGGCTGCAGTACAACGGAATTCAGCCATCGTCTTCTGGTGGGATCAGCTTACGAATCTCTTTTTCATACACTGTAATATGAAATAAAGATCTCTCCAACATAATTCTTATGACATTATTGCATTTATAGATGAGCAAATGATATAGCAGGAAGATTTCTTTGATAGGTTTGATGTAGCATCAATTGACACGAGCATACAGGTAACTGAGGCTATACTCTACTTGTAAATTATATGAACAAACTATAGGTTTAGCTATTGGATCGTGTTTGCCTCCGGTTTTCTCTAATAACTACATAATTCAATTGGGGGTCCTGCTTTTTCGCGAAACACTCCCAGTTCCCAAACTATGGTCAGGT